GAGGCAGACCACCATTAAATTTCATCATCTCGGTACCCACGAATTGTAGTTCGTCTATTTATAGCAATTCTCTCTCTCTCTTTTCTCCCCTTTTGCATGCCCATTTTTGTTGATTTTTTGGTCTAGAATGGACGAAGGGGGTTTGAATTAACATTTTCTGCCAGGTTTTGGTAAATATTCATGATTTTGAGGCGGAAGGATAACGGGGTTATCAGGTTGGCTACGGCGATATGTACGGCAACTAGTTACATGTTTTTAGTATGCTTCTTCAAGTTTGTGTATCTCAAAATTTTGGTGGTCAACCTCATACAAATTTTAGTGCAAAGACATGACCATTTGTTCCTCTGTCTGTAGTGAAAAGCATTCAGCCCAACGAAAATTTGGGGAAAAGTTGGAGGTGGGCAAAGAGGCCAGAATTAACATTGAAGTCAATGGGGAAATTAATGGTGGTCTGCCTCCTGGACACAGTGTGTGTTTACTCCCCGTGATATGATTACCCCTAAGATTTTCTTACGGTCAAATCTATTTCTATTATTATAATATCTACCAATAGATATTATCTACCAACAGTATTACTACTGGCAGGAGAGGGCGTCGAGTTTCTAATGTTTGTTTATTTCAATAAAAAGTAGAAATACAAATTGACTATCTGTATTATTATTCGGTATAAATATTGAATATTCCCGTCCACAATGCGAAAATTTAATAGAAAATAATTGTCCCTTGTATAAATGCAGGGTATGCAATGCATTGTGTAATTTGCATGCATGTTTAAACCCAAATTTACAAGGAGTATTTATTTACACTTTCTTTTCTTTGTATGGAAGGGGGTGATAAATATATATTCATGTTCAAGAAATGAGTGCTTTCAGATTTAGTTTCAGATGTTGATACCATTGTTTGCACGATAAAGGATTTGTATTTGAGTAATAAAACACATAGGCTATATTGTGAAGTTGTAAAAATTTTAATAAGTACAAAATTAAAATAATGATACAGAGAAATCCCAATCATATATTCCAATATTCAATCTGCAAAACAGTTAATTATTAAAACATTGTTAAAACATCAAAAAAAAAAAAAAAAAGAATCTACAAATAACCACTGGAAATTATGTGATCCCTCTCATTAATTATTGTGAGTCGAGTGCCATAAGCTGCAGTCTGATTTGATACTGTATGGACAGTTTTATAGATAGATGTTTATTACATAAAACAAACATAAATAGTGGATGATATTTAAGTAAGTAGGCCCTTTGTACAAAACATAAACAAAAGGTTATGAATACATTACAGTAGCTTGGACTAAAGATGAAGAAATCTTTGCAAATGTTTTGGGGGTTTATTATTATTATTTTTTATTATTAACAAGCATTTATATTGCGCCATTTCCACAAAAGGGCGCAACAACACTTTACAATAAATGTAACAGTTTATTAAAAATAATTGACAAAACAGATAGATATAGGATTAGAACATAAAATGTGAATAAAATACATAAAAGTTGAGTAAAATGGAATTCATGCATAAAATTAAACATATAATTATCACAAAGAAGATTAATTAAAAGCCTTTTTAAACAAGTTTTTTTTAAGAGAAATTTAAAATGATCACAAAAGGGTACATAGATTTTGAGCTGCCTCCTCATTAAAACTGTCAACAAAGATTCTCAATGAACCATGTAATAGATTAGCACAATAAACAAATATTTTACACGCAAAGAACAAATAGAATAAAAAATGATATGAAAGAAAAAAAAATTGACCAATAAAATACAAACTATTTACACTTTTTACATTCATCTATTAATATCGACAATCACTCATACTTGTCATACCATTCTGGCTCCTGCATTCTTCGGCAGTGGTAGCTGCAGTAACCAGTGTAACCCATTTGGTCAACAAAGCCAATATAATTCCCATATTTACCCCCCCCCCCCACCCCACCCCAATATCCCGGACCCTCTTCTTTAAACAATAGGTCACAAAACCCACATTTCTTAACATTAAATGGCACATAATTTTTTTTTTTATTTTGGTCACCTTTCCAATAACTCATTGGTTTAATACCTGGAAAAGGGTAAATTTTAATTTTTTAAACAATGAATATGCATAAAGTGAAGTCATACAAGAGATATGGTTTGTTAGGAATTTTAATTTACATGAATATAGATAAAGGGATGTCAGATTTCATGCCATACAAGAGTCATGGTTGGTTAAAAATTAAAAATCCCATTTTCTATCTGTACATTTATACCACTTGTGGTAGGTGTCTCATTATCTAAAAAATTCCCACCTTCTTTCTGGACATTACTGCTGGAAGGTGACTGATTATCTAAAAAAAAAGTTTAAAGAAAACATATTTATATATTCGTATTTCATGAAATTCTCCACCTGTACAATGCGATGCACTGTACATTTTAAAATTATCAGACTGTTAAAATAAGTAACTGAGAGAACCTGTTTTCTACATACCTAATTCTGTGGGTACTTCATTTGATCTATGAATCAAGACTATATTATATTTACTAAGTTAATATATCAATAGTCAATAATCCTTACCTGTTATTTCAGGTTCATCAGTGTTATCTATTATCTTTAAAGGAAACATAAAATATTATTGGTTAAATGTCTATATTAAGATTAGAGCACATCTCTGATATATGGTGGCTGATTGGTATCATGTCGTGATGTCGTGGTGTCGCCCTTGATAAGGCGACAACCCGACATCACGACATTATTATAACCCGACACCACGACATTTTTAACCCGACACTACGACATTTTCACCCGACACCACGACATTAAGAATGTCGTGATGTCGCGTAAAAATGTCGTATTGTCGCGTAAAAATGTCGTGATGTCGGGTTGTCGTGGTGTCGTGATGTCGGGTTGTCGACGTTATTTATCAATGTTGAAGCGGCCATGAATAATAGAGTGCTGTCCCTTGCCGAGATCAAGCCAGCCCTCACTATCTCATCCTTCACTAAGAATACTTACCCTTCACTAACTGAAGGGGGGGGGGGGTGGATGGCCGAATGGTTAGCACATGCGAACGATTTGCCCCCCCCCCCCCTATATGAGAAGAACAGTGAATGCGCTATCTACTGATTATAGCATGATGTCTGGAATTTCGTATTAGAACCCGTAATAAGACATTCAATACCCCCCCCCCCCACACTTAATTACTTAATGAGTTCAGTATTATCCAACTTTGATAGTTTTCAAGGTAAGTAAATATAATATCTGGAATTTTGTATTAAGACGCGTAGTTTTTACTTTGAATACCCCTAACCCCATCATTTAATAGATTTTTTTACCATTCGTCTTTGATCACCTCTCAAGGCAAGTAAATATAAATGTGTCAGCAAATTATTTATATATTTGAAAAGAGCAGTGAACGTGCTTTTCAGTGATATGTAACATGATATCGGGAATTTCGTATTAAGACCCGTAATTTGGTGGTGAGGGCCAGTTTGATTCGCAGTTAGTGAAGGGTAAGTATTCTTAGTTAAAGATGAGGTAGTGAAGGCTGACTTGATCTCGTGGCCGCTTCAACATTGATAAATAAAGTCGACAACCCGAGATTACGACAACCCGACATCACGACATCATGACATTTTTACGCGACAATACGACATTTTTATGTCGTGATGTCGGGTTGTCATTGTGTCGGGTTATAATGTCGTGATGTCGGGTTGTCGCCTTATGAAGGGCGACACCACGACATCACGACATGATACCAATCAGCCACCATAGTTTAGCGTTAAAACCAAAAGATAATAGATAAAGAAATATACTCAGGTCAAAACAATAAATTATATTGATTTTTTTTTTAAATCCAAATACCCAAAATTACTGTGAGAGGCAACTTAAACCTATTCGAACTACAGAAATGTGATTTCTCACTTTTTAGCTTGTAAAATTCATCAGTTAAAATATTAGGCAGATCGGTTTTTGTCTGCCTAATTCATCGGTCTGCTTAATGGCTATATATATATATATGTGTTTATGGTCTGCCTAATGCCCCCGTTATATGTTCACGTAGGCAAACAATTAATATATAACAATTTGCGAATTTAAGTACATATGTCTGGTAAATCAAGAAAAAAACAAATGTTCGAATATCCCGTCAGATGTCAAATAAGGTGTTAAGAATAGCTAATAACAGATTTATATTCACTCTTGTGTGTCTCTCATTTCACTCACTGGTAAACATGTGTCGTTACTAGGGTAAACAAGTCAAAATACACAACACCTTTAAAAACCTGAGCAATCACGCATGGCAACATGATAAATCAATGACAAGCCCTAATTAAATCAATGCCTTTATTTCAATTAAAACTTCAAAAGGGACTAATTACCATTATCAATCTGTGGAAAGCGTGCGTAAATCCCTTTGACATGTGTAATAGTATACTGTATTCTACTGATCATCAATAAAAAAATTGACAATTATTATTTAAGTGGTAACTGAGTGGCCATACAACGTTAGTAACCTAACCAAGTAAAAAATCATTAGTTGTACAGAAGGAAATATCAGTCAATAATCTATAGCTGTGTGAAATGGTGTTCCACTTATTATAGATATATATGTATTATTGTGGTAATTAGTTATCCATACACTAAAGAGGGTTGGATGGCCGAATGGTTAGCACGTGCGCGCTGTATCATAAGGTCTGTCATTGAGTCAACTGGCGTGGTTTCGAATCCCCGGTTGTACGTGACAAGGAGTAGGGTGCCTGTCCAACCTCGTGGATTTTCCCCGGGTTCTCCGGTTTCCTCCCACTGCTAAAGACCCCTACGCACAAACGAATTATTGAAATAAAATTGAACCATATGTTAGTCTCGAAATGACCTAGTTTGTGACGAGTGGACGTTAAACCCCATTTCTCTCTCTCTCTCTCTCTCCCTCTCTCTCGTGATGGCTAAAAAGAACCCATTCCCTTTCCTCCCATGTGTATATCTGATTGTCGTCTGCTTAGATCTTGTGCAAACGCGTCACGACGGGTTAGCGCGCGGATCGTATATGACTGCCAGCTAGAAACTAGGTGTTACTAGGAAGGACAATTTGCCTATAATAAGCTTTTTGGGCATATACAGTACAGGTAAGACAATTGTATTCATATAAATATATATTTGATACCCCGTTTCGGTACATATGATCATGCTGCCCGCATTATGATATAGCGAAATAATATGTTTTATTTATATTACAAAAGAAAATGGCATTTTACGTTATGTAAGTTTCTTGCAAAAGCTCGATAGACGAACATTGATCAATAACATTTATTTATAGAAAGTCGAAATATTCATTGGTGAAATTTAAAAAATCAGTTTCCGTTTCTATGATAGATGTTTACAAAGGGAATATCAAGACAGTGGGCGATGCGTTAACAACAGTTTTAACTATCGGTAAATATAACATAAACCTTAGTAACAATGACACGACCATTTACTTTTCAAATATATTCGTGTACACTAACTACATGTATATCGTGGAATTAAAAAGGACAGTATTATGATGGGACAGTGTACTGTAAATGGTATTCAAACTTATGCACGTTTAACTATCGGTAAATATAACATAAACCTTAGTAACAATGACACGACCATTTACTTTTCAAATATATTCGTGTACACTAACTACATGTATATCGTGGAATTTAAAAGGGCAGTATTCTGATGGGACAGTGTAAATGGTATCCAAACTTATGCACGTTGGGTATATCGACTGTCAAATCAACATTCATATAATGTTTACATTGTATAATCATTTAGTATTATAGGTAGACTCTCTCGTCCGATTTATTTTCATTTTATGCAAATCTTCCATCAACAATCAAGGATATCAAAAGCATATTTGTTAAAATTGTTAAATGAAAACACCCAAATTTCATAGAACTAATATATGTAATTTGACATTGCAATAATAATAAATCATCCAAATTACCATAAAAAGTTTTTTTTAAGCCAATTTAGGCACAGGGCAAAACGAGGCATTTAATTTCATTAATTTTATGATCACTTGCCCTTCGGCGGGAATCAGAGGGGGGCATTTAAAAAAATAAATTAAACGTACATTATGCAAGAGCTAAATCTGCCAATTGCAGGTCTTTCTTTAGGTCTGAAATGTTATCTAAATTATCAATTAGACATTAATTAACTTATCCAGACCATAATTAACTCTTGATGGAATCGCTAGCCTGCGATATTTACTGGATTAGAACCCGGTCTGCTGCTTGTGATTAAATAACAAATGGACAATCGAGACTATGTTTTTATCGTACCGGTACCGACTTTAGTAATGTTGATCGAGGCTAGGCCCAAAATTCAATCGCTAAATACTCGCTTCAGGGTGGATCAATTTGACAGAAATTTTCAGCAAATTCCCTTTACATTATCTAGTTGTTAACTATTATAGTGAGAACTACCAGCCCTTTATCTAATCTCCCATTATAAATACTCGCTTCAGGGTGGATGAATTTGACAGACATTTTCAGCAAATTCCCTTTACATTATCTAGTTGTTAACTATTATAGTGAGAACTACCAGCTCTTTATCTAATCTCCCATAATTTATCTTTAACGTCTCTCGCACTACACCTGTCATTTTACAGCTCATTATGACGATGGTTATTTGGCCTATGTGGTTATGAAGCATAAGATGATAAGATGCAAGGAAAATGGGAGTTCGGTTTCCTTGTTTGTCATATAATTTTTGCAATTTGCCACTCGTGTTCATAATTTCGCCATGAAAGACGCGTAGTTTGACAGTTTACAGCAGAATTGTGTTACATAGTAAAATGTTGTTGTGTATTTAACGTTCAATACATAATAATTTATGGACAGGTTGATTTAATTAAGATTATTTACATATGAAGGAGTACTTAAAAAAAGGATAAAACATAAAACAGTTCTTGTATATAAAAAAAAGTCACTTAAACCCACGGTGTTAAAATTCGCTGTCGCGAGAAGAGGGCGTGGGTCGTCTTCTCCCTTCGCTATAATTTTTATAAACATATTTTATTCACTATAAATGAATGGGAAATTGGAGAACAGGCAAAATGCCTATGTCAGACCCCTATCCCTATTTACAATACAAATTATGTACTAATAATGAAAAGCAGTATATACAATATATACAACCCATACTTAGTTGAATACACCTAAAGTATTATAGTATGTAATAATAATAATAATACTAGACCTGCAATCAGCACTGAACCGGCTTTTAGGAATCAGACAGGAAGTTTGTCATACAATAGCCCATTCATCGAGCTACCAAACGTTACTTTAGATGTTTTGATGCGGTCACACCCGACGGTGAAATCAAGATTTTTTCAAGAGCACCGATTTTTACTGGTTTTTTTTAAATATCGAATATTTACGGATCATTGTCGGGATAGATTTAAGACGTTGTATGGGAACTTAACTTCCTGTACCAAAAGTTTCAGAAAGATCCATTGGAGAGTTTTTAAAAGTAAGGAAAATTAGAAGATATTTAACAATATTTAGTAAATAATTGGTAGTCTGATACTAATGTGTTATCTCCTTTACACCATTAGACCTCTAGAAGAAGATATAACAATTTTTCAACTTTTTTCAAAGATTGTGACTCTTTTTGGACCATTTATACTATACTGAGCGCCATGGAAAACGCATCACTTTTTTTCCCAAATATTTTATTACTAGGTGGTTTTCTATGTTTAATATTATGCAATAATATGAACTATTGTTGCACACAATGCTCCCAAACGCAAAAAATATCGGCCCGTGTGCACGAAGAAAAATTGCACGAGATGCACATTAAAAACCCAATATTCACGTGCAGCATTGTGTGTGAGCCCTTTAAAAGCATGTTTTCAACTTAATGTGCAGTACATGAACTGTGAAACGTCAATCTGTCGTAATTTGTTGTTGGACGTGTGAAGGAATCGAGCTAGAGATGCCGAGAGTTACTGAAAATCAACGGAATGAAGCCACGGGAATGTCCGGGGCTGGCATGTCTACACGTGCTATTGCCAGACACTTCAATTGTCATCAGTCCACTATTGTAAGGTTGGTGGAACGTGTTCGAGTTACTGGATCAACACGTGACCGTCAACGTCCTGGTCCACAACGCGTTACAACCCAGGCTCAAGACCGCTACATCCGGGTCACTCATCTGCGTGACAGATTCCGCCCAGCGACTCGAACAGGTGCAGCAGTCGTCGGAAGACAAGGACCAGTAAGTGCCAACACCGTAAGACGTCGTCTAAGAGAAGTAGGACTCCGTGCACGACGACCTTATGTTGGAGCTATCCTCAGGGATCATCACCGTCAGCGGCGTTTGATATGGGCTCAAGGACACCAGACATGGAGAAGAGTAGACTGGCAAAGTGTGCTCTTCAGTGATGAGAGTCGCTTTCATCTTTGTCACGCTGATGGCCGTCAACGTGTGTGGAGACGTCTTGGGGAACGTCTTGCAGACTGCTGCGTCTTCAAAACGAATCGATGGGGTGGGGGAAGTGTAATGGTGTGGGGAGGCTTCACATTTCATCACCAGACCGCCCTACACATTTGCAGGGGTCGCGTTAATGCTGTAGCCTACCGTGATGATGTCTTGCAACCAATTGTTGTTCCGATGTTTCGAGCGCACCCACAACTTCAGCAGTTCCAACAGGATAATGCACGTCCGCATACCGCCCGTTTTAGTATGGACGACCTGGCTGCTAACAACATCTATGTCTTGGACTGGACATGGCACTGATAGAACATGTCTGGGATGGGATTGGACGCCGTCTGTATCGGAGACCACAGATGCACACCAATGCTGCTTTAGAAGCTGCTCTTGTCCAAGAATGGAACAATTTCTCCCAGGACTTCTTTCAAACATTGGTAAATTCCATGCGACGTCGCTGCACAGCGTGCGTAAGAGCACTTGGAGGACACACGCGCTACTGACATCTGTGTCGTTTTGACCCCTCTGACTTTGTACCGATGATTACAGATTAAACATCCATAAGTGTACAAATGTGTTGTTATTGATGTGTTCCCATTTGAATATTGTTCACAATAAGAAGCAAAATAAATAAGATAATGTTTACAGGATCATTTTGTTATACGAAAAACTAAGTGATGCGTTTTCCATGCCGCTCAGTATATATTGAGGCTTATAAATTTGGATTCACGCCCTAGACCACCGTTAGGACTCTAAGTAACAGAAGTTTAAGAAAGGAACAAAGAGAAGTTTTCGGGATGAAAGTATTGAATTGCCCCCAAAATTGAAAATAATAGATTTGCAGCGTCCCATTATATATTGCCTAACCAGCGAATTTTTACCATTTAGATGCCATACGATCGTCCATTGTTCCGGCTATCCAATGACACTTTAGTTGTTTTGAAATCTTACGTAGTAATCACTTTTTTCGCAAGATCGCCCTTTTTTTTACTTTTTACGTTTTTTTTTTTCAAAATATCCGGTTTTTGGATCACTGTCGGGATAGCTTTAACAAGTTGTTTGGTTACCTTGTCTTCTGTACAAGAAGTTTCAGAATAATCCATTCAGCTGTTTTCCAAAGAAAGAAAATTAGAAGATCATTTTCAGTAATTTAAGGATTTTTCAACTTTTTTCCAAGATTGAGGTTCTTTTTGGACCACTTATATTATTTCAATGCTTTTATTTTTGGACTCACGCCATAGTCCACCGATACGACTCTGAGTAAAAAAAGTTTAAGAAAAAACTTAGTTTTTGTTTTCGAGAAAATGGCGTCTCAAAATGCTCCAAAACGGAAAATACTAGATTTTCGGCGTACCATAATTTATTTTCTAGTCATCTAAATCGTATCATTCAGATGTCATATGATAGTCCATTAATGGCGCTATCCAGCGATACTTTAGTTCTTTTGGTCCGCTAACATCTGATGGAGAAATCAAGTTTTTCGCAAGAGCGCTATTTTTTTAAACCTTTTTTACTTCATTTTTTGAATACTTCCGGTATGGAGATTATTGTCGGGATAGTTTTAATAACCGGATTGGCTTATCAAATAGGCACAGGGCTATGTAATGATATATTACATTGTCTGATCAGATAAAATGTCCCTGGGAAATCCTATGTTCAATAGTGC